GGGTGCTCGGCGAGGAGCAGGGTGAACGGGGGTTGTAAGCGGCTTACGCCCGCCGAGCGGAGAGCGACTCCTCGCTAATTATTTATAGGACCCTCTCTCCCGGCTCTCTCTTCTCGTGCACGGGAAGATCCTTTGCCCGAGAAGAGTTCTCTTCTCTCTCCCTCCATCTTTGATCTTTTCCCTATTTTCTCTGTCTCTCGTTTGCTTCCAAAGACTCTTTCCATTTTTATTTTCTCTCTTCTCTCCTCTCTCCTCTCCCGTGCGACCGCGTTACACGTACACGGTCCTTTCTGCTAGCTGCGCCGAGAACTGCCCCCGGGTTCTTTAAAATGGGAAAGGTTCGCTCGCTGGAGGGTGAAGTACCTTTTTCAGAGATATTCCGCCGACGCGAACTTCTCGCTCGACTTTCCGCTCTTAAAAAACAGCGAAAATATTGAACGACCCTGGTAATTTCTCCGGCAAAGCTGAAGATACGTTTTTGGGTAGGATATTTTTGCGGAAACGAAAGCGTTTAACCCTTTGCCTCCACAGTTCGGCTAATCCGGTGCTTTGTGCCGTATTATTCGTCCTGTCTACTTTCATGTACATCGTTTAGATAATAAAAAGAATGATGTAGATAAATGACAGCAAAAAATGAAGAAATTACTCTCGAGTAATTGTTTTGCTATCTTCCGTAGCGAAAGGGTTAATTACGAGCGTTGAAAGATCAGTAGCTATCCTCCCTCGAAATCGTTAAAAGATCATTATCGTGATTTACGGCGCGCGATTAATTAGCAGCTCGTATATCATTTTATCCGGCTGAATGGTTTCTGTTCAACGATATCGAACGTTCGTCTCATAGATATCTTTTCTCGAATAGGAAGTCGACAGGAACTGGTCGCTCTGGGCTGTCCGTATGTGCGTGTGTGAATGAGTGACGAAGGAATCTCCACGTGTGCTGTATAGCCTATGGCGGCGGAAACCGACGGTCCATTTTTTAGGATTACCTGCGGACGGTTCTCGCGCAGGCTACCGAGGGTGGCACGATCAGAGAACGAGAGAAATGCGTGTAGAGAAAGAGGAAATAGAGGGAGACGAATAGACAAGGGAAATAGGTGTGTTGGTTACTCGTGAGCCAAGCCGAATGTTTGGACAGAGGGAGCTTAACAATGCGTTCGCGCCCCTTGACTTCCTGCCGGAGCTTCTGATCCCTCTGCCTGATCGCCGATCGTAATTGGGTCGAAAGAGCCGCGACTAGAGGTTAAAAAATATCCTCCCATGCCTCGACTTTGTTGCGCGAATCGACTTCCTACTTTCGAGAATTCATCGAGCATAGAAATCGAGAACAGCATTGAAAGGAATCGTTGCGGAAGACCTGGGTAAATTTTCTTCCTCCTGGATGGATCGCTTCAATTTTCAGCCAAATAACACATTAAAGCTATCAACTATCCTATTCATCTCTATGATGCTTCATAATCTGTTGATTGTCAACGCAACGTCATTACACTATGTTATCGCAAGAGCTTTTCACAGAAAGTATTAGGAGATTAATTTTATATAACTCCATGTGTATGTAGACTTATTATTCTTATTATAGAAACAAAGTACGAAAGGATAAAGAGATGACAAATTAAATATGATCATCGTAGTGTTATTATGCAGTTTGTAAAAAGGTGCATTTTATGATACGAAGAGAACAGGAGGAAAGCAAGTAAGAAATTCAATCGATCGTCAAGGTGGGAGCACAACAAGAGACGTATGCAAATTAGAGTGTGTGGCGACTGGCGTCAGCAATCGCGCTAATTAAAACGATAGCTGGGTCGATTAAAGTATGACGCATCAGGAATATCTCGCTAACTCGCGGACCGATTCGAACGCGTGGAAAAAGATCAAAGCGTGTAGAAGTCGGGACGCGAAGCAACTAGCAGAACTGTCTCCAATTGAATTTGCAGCGTGGCGCGATCTCGATTCGTCGCTGATTCGATTTCATTGAGTTTAAAACGGCCGCTTATAGAGCATTAAGCAATCCTCAAAGTGGGAACGGGAAATCTAGTTACGGGAGCGCGAGCTGGCCTCTTTGATCCCAGCCCGATCCTCCCCGACCCTCTTTCTAACCCTCTTCTACACCTACCCCCTCGTCTTTCCATTCTTTCCATCGTCCACCACTCCCTTCGCCATTCTCTCTCGTTACGGATATTGCCAATCGAGAAAGAATTCCCTTCCAGGCGTTCGCGAAAATTTCATCGGCCAACTTTATCCTCTTCGCGTTGCTAAATCTCCGCTCCGATACTTCGATCCTTCGTTTTATTACGCATAAATTAACTTTCTATCGGTGGTATAATTACGCCGAGGAATTTGCTTGTAGTATTACCGAAAAAATTCTGAACTCACCATTTATTACACTTAATTTCACGAAAAATCGTGATAATCGCAACCGTTTTCCATGGAAAATCCGTGCAGGGATTTCCAAGTCATCCAAGTATTAGTCGCAGCGAGAGATATTCGAATTAATGAATAAATTCGCGCGAAATTATTAAACCGATTCTCGTCGGTGCATTATTTATACGGTTCGCCGTCACTCGACACCCAGGAGCGGCTGAAATACGACAAGGCAACTGTAAATGGAGTTGTCGGATATTTAGCGGGAAACTTTTCGCGTGCTACCTGCATAATGGCATGATTTACTTCGTCGATGTTTCGACGCGAGAACGAGGCGCAGGTGAAAAATCTAATTCGCGTAAACAATAAAATGGAGGTCACACGGACTTTTTTTCCTCCCTTGTCATTCTGGATCAACTGGAACGTAGACATAAATTGCAGTGAACGTATTTCCCCTTTGCCTCCTGTGTTTCAAAAATATCAAATGCTGAAAGATCTGTTGAATGAAAACAGTACGATAATCGTTATCCTTCAAATCTGTTCGATGGTGTCCCAAGTAACACCGGATAGAAATTCTGTGAAGCCTCCGGATATTCGGAAACGCTTCCGTGCGACGATCGTCCGGCGAGTTTTCGGTAGGTGTGGCAAATCGGTAAGGCATAATGCGAGTATTAAACCGGCATAGACAGGGAGACTGTAGGAAAAGGGGTAAGAGAGCGAGAGGTTGGCAAGGATAGGTAGGTAAGTCGGGGCTTAGCCCGGTGACACAGTGAGCGGAACCAAGCCATGAAGCTTACGGCCGGCTCCGAGTTGTTATAATGGGATCCGGCTAAACGCAAGCCGATTTTAACTCTTCGCCGCAGCACTCGGCCAAGTTCAAGGCCATTGTCTTCGCCACGATGAAAGTGAACGGTTGACACTCGCAAACCCGTCTAAAATGTCGTCGGGATATCTCGAGGAGGTATCGTGCTAAACCAACCTTGTTCACGAGCATCTTTAAACGTCTCTTCTTCCCTCTGATAGCGAATGAAACATCATAAATCAACGTTAATTACTCGTGTCTTATCTCCCTCGTTTTAAATCATGAACACGAGCCGAACGCTTTGCTAAAGAACCGTGATGGAACAAGTCAGATGCACGTGTACCGTACTTATTTGAAAGGGGGAAAGAATCTATACTGCTTTAAATCTTCAACGCTCTTACTGTTCCTTCTTCTAAACCCTATCTCAGCCGTAGGATCGTTGAACGAGGTAAATTAAAGGATCGTTTTATCGGTGGTATTATTTGCGGTCTAGCTTTCTGGTACGCTATCCGGTAGCCGGTAAGAGGCTCAAGAAAACTTTCGGTGGATTTGAGTCGATGTATACAGATAATTCGTTTGGTGTACGCATTGCCTGCGAATCGGCGGGATCCTCTTTTAAAGAGAGAAACTCGCGAGTAGGATTTGCGCGGCGATTATGCGAGAAGGGTCATCAAAGGACCCGTGGAGGTACTTAGGTTGGACCCGGACCGATTTGTTATAGCCCGTTAATTTGATGAGTTAGAAAGGATGCCGGATTACGCCGTCAAAAGGTAGACAGGTACCTGATCTGTCCAATTAGCCTGGCACAAGCGGGCCCGGTGCTGCCTTCGACTGCTGCACGGGGTTCTTTGCCCCTCGAGTTTAGGCCATTTGCGGAGATACGCCGTTCCCACCACCATCTCATCGTCATCGTTACCCTTCTCTATCAACCACCGAGCACCGACGCACGCATACGGCAATGTCCTTGTACACCTGTGTTATAGATCCTTTAATGGACCGTCGTGGAACTTGATGGTCCTCTATATCTGTCTAACATCTCCCCTTTCTGTACTAAGAGTCGGGCTCGATCGTATCAAAGGGAACACTTTGCAATAACAAACGGTGCTGCCGAGAAACTCGTGCATCCGCTAATTACTAATTACGCGTTTTGATCGGAAGCATAAAGTTTGAGATAAGGACGTGCAGTTATAGGGGGACGGTTATGCTGCGAAATAGAGAAGAAGAAGAAGTAGGGAGAAAAAGAGGCGTATCAGCGAAATCGTCGGTGAGACTACGTAGTCAAATGTCGGCGAGAAAAGTTCCAATTCAGGTATAATGATTCCTTTAATTATCTGGAAGAGTACGCTACAAATTGGAACAAGAGGAAGGAAAAAAAGCGTGAAACGTTGATGTAAATTGGTTCGTTCATTTTACTCGTGAAATGTTTTTTAATTTCGCGGAAAACAGGATAACGCGATGCAAGGAAAGCACGTACGCAAATTGCAGCCAGCGATTACGGTGACCACGAGTCTGTAATTAATATGGCTTTTAACGGTTCGAGATCGATACGCGAGACCGCCCTCGAATAATGGGACGCTTTAATGTTAATTAATTTCGAGTGCATTAGCAAAATTACAGCCCGCGGCGGCGTGATCTTGCGAACATCAATGTGATTTAATAGCAGGCCACGATCTACAATATAAGCCTCGTTATTTCGCCGAAACGAAGTAAGACGAGTTCAATAACGATTCAACGTTCCCGTTAATTAGGACCCATCTGAAAATTAATAATTGTTCCCATTTTACATTTCGGTGAATTAAAAACGAAAGAAAAAAAAAGAAACAATGAATGGACAAACTGATTTATTAATAATATGCGATGTTTTATTTTTGACGTAGGAAGATCTTCTTCTCACATGATAGAATCCAATCGTGTATCTTACAAGTTATGATAATTATGTACATTTTTTGCGTCATATTATTACAAAGTAGCTTAACGTCTATGTGCGCACAATAATCATTACGGTTTACACGATCATATGCTATCGTTTGCGTTACTGATATCTTGAACTTGAGTTTTATTCTCTAATCCACAATAATATACATTAGGGTTGTATACACGAAATATACACTCACGATTACGTATGACGTCCTTCGGCACGCTGCTTTCCTTTGCAATTCGTTTTACCCGAACACTCATATTAAGATAGCGAAACTGGTTTCGTTCGAAAGCTGCTGCCGAAATTATTATTTTGCCCGCGGATTAAGTCGCGACACGAGCAAAGCTTGATACCCCGCCACGAAAGAAAGGAAGAAAGAAAGAATATTCGTGGGGTATAGAGCGTCCGAGAATGTTGTAACTCGTCCGCGGAATCTTTCAGTAAGAATTCACCACGTTGTTGATCGCGGTTTCGCCAAAACGGCTCGTGGATCATTCAGTTCTCACGCATTCGTACAAACACACTGTTTTGCTTTCGCTATTTACACAAACGTCCGGCTACTGGCCGTACTTGATATGAATGATTATCAATTACAGTGTTAATCGTAAGAATAAAGATCGTAACGATAATACTAAAATTAATGACGGCAGTGATGAGTACTCGTCGATCCGCTTTCAGGAAAATTAAATTGAAACGTCGTAAAACGGATAATTACTCGCGGATTCTCGTGGATAAAATTGTACGATCAAGCTTTGTATCATCGACGAGTCTCTTCATTTTTCAGAAACTAAAATTTGTTGACCACCGACGACCAAGAAAATATGAGAAAGAAGAAAGAAACAATGCACCCTTGCAGTTGATACTATAGTCCGTCCGACGAGACGAATTAATGAATGCATTTAAATTCGCGTGCTCGACGCAGGATCAACTCACGATAAATAGACGTTGAACGAAGCGTTTGAAGAACTGAAAATAATTGTGTGCCGGCCTTGCATCGGGCACGCGAATTTGCGTGCGTTTACCGACTCGTTTCGTTGGACGGGTTATATATGGTCGTTTGAACGACTACGCTTGTCGAATACCTACACCTTTTTTCTTTTCTTTTTCGATTGTCTTTTAGGTTCGATCGAAGCGATATCTGTGAGACAGGAAGTCGGTCACGGTGGTGACTGTTTCGTGATCGATCGCGGCGCGACGTCACCTATCACCGGACCCTTTTCGCGGAGTGATCGCGAAATAATTGCGAATCGAATGGAAGGGAAGAGTGAAAAGAAAACAGAAATACGGGAAAGCATTGTCGCGCGTCAATTCTAAAAGAAAGCAAAAGGAAAGGAATTTTTCGCTAAATAATAGTACTCGGATCAAATCGTTCGTCGACGAATGACCCGAAACTAGTCGTGAAATGCGAAATGTTTTTTAATTTTTATTTTTTTTTTTTCAATTGAAAATGCTTACTAAATGTTTCCCTTCGTATTTACGTGTTTTCAGATCGAGCGTGAATGCATCGCGTGGAGGCGATCAAGACGAACGAGCAACGTGCCGTGAACAAAGAAGAAACTGTTTATTAATCCTCTAAACGCTCTTTATTTACGACGCGTTCTCGAACCGCCTATCCTGCGACATAAAATAGTTCTCGATTTGAATGTTTCACCGGGAATTGATCACCTATGTTCACCGTACGAAACTTGAAATCGCGAACATTTCATCGAACGATGCGTTGCACGTTATCCATAAGAAATAATCGGTTACCATCGATTACATCCATCGTTACCGCGCAAAAGAGCAATGTCTACGATCAATGGCGGAATCGAACGCCACACGATTCGCTGTTTCGTCTCAGAGAATCTCGAATCCTTGCACAGTTCACTAAAAAATTTCTCGTCGAACCGATCCGAAAATCGTCCGAGTTTGTATGCCAACTCAATTATCGTCGGAATCGATGCTACCGCTGATCTCGGGGCACGATGGCGCGGAGGACAAACGCCAGTTGTAAGCCGCGGAGGATCCGGCCGCGGTTGTGCTCTCCTGGCCACGCTGAAAGATCCCGGAGGACCTGGTGGACCGCTATACCATCGTTTGGTACTTTTGATCGGGCAATATGTAGCCGTCCGAGTCGGACGGGGATGTGGCCATATCGTTCGTACCTGTTGGATTCAGATGATGGCTGGTCAGGTGTGACATCGAGGAGGTTAGCGTCATGTTGTGATGATACTGCGGGTGATGGTAGTTCCCTTGGGGGCTGTGGTGCATGTGCGAGATCTGGGTCTGATAATAATCGCCGTTGGTGTACGGGTTCTGGTAGGCGTTGTAGGTCTGCCCGGCGTAACATTGGCTCGGGTTCACCGAGCCGGGCGACGCTGAACTCCAAGCGAAACCATACTCGCCGTGATGAATCTGGTTCATGGGGGGCGGATAAGAGGACGGCGGTAGCTGGCTGGAACCTGGGGTCAACGGCGGCGACGGGGTTGTAAGGGCGCTGTTCGCGCCGCTTCCGCCGGTCGGCGTCACTCCGAGACGCGGGTACGTTGACGTTGTCGACAGCAGAGGCGAATTGGGGCCCGGTGCTTCTTTGCCACGCGGTGGAGAAACCGGCGATGAACGTCTGCTGGGCGTCGCGGACGTGCTGGTCGACATTTTGCTTCCGTTGTTCCCGTTGCTTTGCGCCTGACTCGATCTCGGCGACCCTTTCGACGGCGAGGTTTGCTGTTGTTGCTGTTGCTGCTGCTGCTGTTGTTGCAGTTGTTGTCTGCACTTTGCTCGACGGTTCTTGAACCATACCTGCGCGGCAAACGAAAGATCGGTCAGCTTTAGTAAAGTAATTAGCAACGCGGAGAGGAGTCTTTGGCGGGGGAAGGTAGCAAGGTTTCGCGGAAAAAGCATCGCCCGAGGGATCGTCGAGAAGAAAAGGTGGTGTCCCGTCAGGAGGGACGCAGCCAATGGGGAGTTAATCGGTGCAATGGGAAAGTAATCGCGGGCGGACGGCCGTAACATTTCATTAAATCGCAACAATAACAACGAAGCCGAGAGAGGGGGAGATGGTTCAGAGGGTTTCATATAGGAGCACGCCTCTTGCCTGTGTGTCGGTGTGTCCCTAGGGATCTGTTGTTAACGCATGCGCGAATCACAGAGCCCAGCGTAGCGACTAGACCCGCTTTGCAACCGTGTGTGGTGCGCGCTCGTGTAGCGTCTGTTCCCGCGGGTTATCTATGGGGTTACCCGCACCAAGAACGCCGTCCGTGTCGTAACGCGAACGTAACAACAAACACGAGCGAAGAACCATCATTTTTCTCTCTCTCATTCTCTCTCTTTCTCTCATCCTTCACGAACGAGGGACAGAAGAAGGACAAAAAGCATCCCCCGGCCGAGGCCTTTCACTCCCCCTCGCGGATCCTCTGTAATCCCGGCACACAATGTGGCCAGGGGTGCGATCCTATGAATCTATGCCTGCCTTTAAAAGCAAGACCCGTACTCATTGTTGTTATTATCGACGGCATTGTAACAGTTGTTGCGAAGAGCGCGAATCGTCCAAGCGAATATAGACGGGATTTTCATTAGGTATGAATCTCGTATTGGTCGGTCGAATCGACAACGAAAGAGGAACGGCGCGGGCACTCGACGCGGGTAAAACTCTTTCGAAATGCGATGAAGCGTGATCTCGTCGAACGGATTAAAAAGTCACGGCTTACCACGTAGATATACGCGCGACGAAATCTGAGAATTAACGACAAAACCGAGTCGAGCCGGAATCGTAGGTATCAAAGTTTAGCGATCGATTTGCAACTGTTACACGTTTGCTCAGTTTCCTTGCTCTCGAAGCGATTGGCAAATCGTCGCTTTGCAAACAGATCCCTCGAGGACGGGGTGTGAAGATCGTAAACGCGTGAAACGCGAATATTACGTGTCAACCGCAAAAGAGGAACGATCCTGAAGAGAAAGAGAGAGAAAACGCCCATTACAGTTCAGTGTTTGCACAACGACACCCCCCGTGAGGAACAACACACAAGCCGAGGTGGTAGCTACCCCAAAAACCAACCAAACGGGCCGTGGTGCCATCCGGAAACCCCCGGGGGCGACCACAGCGAGTTTTACTCGTGTGTATCGATGGCTAGGTGTAAATTGCATCACCATCTGGTTGGCGTCCGACGCGGAAAACCAACTCATTGGCCACGGGTTGCAGCAGCTGCGTTGACGTTTCGTTATGATCAATATATTTTCTTATTTGCACTATTAATACGATCTCGCGCGAGATCTTTCTATACAGGACACGAGTCCACAGAGACGCGGGATGTAAACCGACTGAATGTTTGCCGTTTCGAGGTGTCAAAGTGCTAAGACATAGTTTAACGCTTTGACTGCCACGCTAAAGCCGTTGAAAATTTCATTAAGTATCACTTTTGTCTTCACAAATCTTATGTATGTTATCTTTAAAATACTTCATTATATTTTAGGTAGGTCAAAGAATTCCTAATAATATGAGTGATGGATTCCTATATATGGGTGACACGATACTTTATACAACGCTCATTGTCAGTCGCGGGTCAAAAGTAACCGTGCAGCGCTTATTTCACGATCGATAAGAATCGATTCAGTCTCGTAACAATATCTTCAATTTTATCGACGAAAACGTTGACGATATCGATTGGGATAATTTATACGCCGTTTATGAATCCAGATACGCGTGCGTTTAGGGGTAATCGAGTTTGTCGTCGAGAAGAATTCAAGAGGAATAAATATGCGTGGCAAACCTGTTCACGAAGAAAACATTGGATGGCTTTTCTTGGTCGATATTGCCGACTTTCTCGAGCCGCACCGTGCCTATTTTTTCTTTCTCCAATTTTTTTCTCTATCAAAGAAATAACGTTTCGACGCGTTCCTCGATCGTAAACGACGAACGAACGAGCTGGCGCATTGAAACGTAGCAAACATCGCGCGCAGCTGTGTCGTTCTCTCGCGTATAGAAACTCGCGAGCGAGATAGAACGAAGGGCTATAATCCAGGAACAAATCAACTATATATGTTGTGCTTTATACATCGTGCTTCTGTGTTCCACCTACCTATACACACACACACACACACACCTCTGCCCTCTCCTTCTCCCTTGGAAACTTTTAGATCCACGTATCCCCCCGTGTCTCCCCCTGCACCCCCTCGGTTCATATTATTCGTTCACGTGGGTACGCCTCTACAATGTACATCGCAACGTGCACACGTGTGCTATACGTACGTGTGTTGTACCCTTTTGCAGTTGCGCCTCCATTCACCGAGAAGGGAGGCTTAACTTCGCGTGGAAACTCCGTTGGGCGGAATTTCCTCGCTTTGTCCTATATTCTCAGCGATGGCGACAACGATCGACCATCATCTACCACGAGGTGTCTCGGTTTGTTCGCGCTATTTCTGTCCGTTTAGGTTAAATACCGCTTAGACACGCGCTATCCGTTGAAAATTTCAAGCCACTGTCTTCGGACGCGTTGAAAGCCGGCGAGGGGCTGATAACTTTATTGCATGTTATAACTGACAGGTTTTTTCAAGGTACTACTTCTGAGAAGTGTACCGTTCAAAAGGGACATGGAAATTAATGGAGTTTTACTGTACCGTCCTTTTAACTTTCAAACTGCTTCGACGATTTTCAGCAGATTAACACCGGATACCTGGTATGACCATGAGAGGCTCTATTATAAAACGACTACTCCGGCGACTACGGGTTAACCAAGGTAACCCAGTTAAAGTGTTAATAAGAAACTGCTCTTGCAATCAATGCGAACGTATACGAAGTCTGATTTCGCGTTCCCATCGTTGAGCGAAGAACGCGTCCTGCCTGATAGAGGATTACGATCCTGGTAGGGGATTCGCGGAGTTGAAAATTCTCGTCACGATCGTGACTTCGGGACACCCCGGGACGAAATAAAGATGTTACGAGGACCGCAATAAAAGCGTCAACGAGCTCGTCGACGCATCTATCAATGTATTGCCAGGAGCGGGGAACAATGGCGAAAGCGGAGGGACGCGGAGCGCGACACCGAGTTGTGTAAATACCTTAAATCTCGTACACGCTTGCCGAAGCACGAAACTCTGCTCTCCTTCTTCCCTCTTTCTCTCTTTCTCCCTTACCATCGTCCGCCGAGATTGCGACTCCCTCTACATATTACATACCACGAGATTCTCGAATCCGCGAAATTGATTTCGACGATACATTCACCGATAGCCACCCTTTTCGCTACTCCGCTACCGTCGAACGACGCCGCTGCAGCGTTACGTTTTCAGGAATATCGATAGAAAATAGAGTAAAGTATCGAGGGAGAGAAATAGAGCAGGATCGTGTTTTGACCCTCGAGAATGCTTCGAAATGAAAATCCATTTACCTGAACTCGTGATTCGGGCAGATTAATCTTCAATGCGACCTCCTCTCGCATAAAGATATCGGGATACCTCGTTTTCGTGAAAAGTCCCTCGAGAACGTCCAATTGCGCTCTGGTAAACGTTGTCCTCTCGCGGCGCTGTTTGCGCTGATTCATTCCTGAAACACGAAATAAGCAAAGCGAAATTAAAACAAAGAATAAAATCAAAGCCGCAAGCTTTTTATTTCGGAACCATTCGAAGGATGTTCTCGAGGATCTATAGCAAGAAAGACGCATCGAAAACGTGCCAGTCGAAAGGAGGAAGACGAGTCGAAGTTCTGGTTCGACTCGAGAAGGGTAAGGCATCGGAACAGAGGATGGAAAAGGGGGTGGTATAGAGGGGTGTAAGCGTTGCGAGGTCGCGATAGCGTAATTTTGAACAGTTCCCCACTATGACCCACACCCTCCTCTACCTTCCTCGTGCCATCGAGCCTCGCTTGGCTCGTTTCGGGACCCACGTAATCCGCTTATGAGGGGGGGTCACAGGGGGTGGGTGGAGGGGAGGTAGGAGAACCGGGGGACAAGCCAGAACGATGGAGCGAGAGGAAGAGAGAAAGAGTGGCGTAGGGTGAGGAGGGGTACACCCCGGAATACACGACCATCCAGAGGACCAAAGTCGCGGTTCGTTCCCAGCTGCCTCTGGAAACGATGCTGCTATCCAACACGCCAACGTACAACGCTCCGACCAATAAAAAGAAGAGCCTGGAAAACTGCGCCTCGCCAGTGTCTCCCGGTTGGAAGCTCGATCGTAAAGTCGAGAAAGGAATGGTGGATACCAGCCTGAACGTTTCGCTGCTACGCGATCCATGAAACAGGAGTATCTTAACGCATTTAGTCGCGCATTCGGTCGATGTAAATAAGAAATACACGAATCGTACGTTTGTGTTTCGAACGACTGTTATGCGTTTGAAGTTAATAATTGAGTTTATTAAGATCCGATGAATCATGCGATTATGGGGAGGAAAAATTCTCGAACGCGACACTTTCCTCGCGGATAAACTCGGGAGTTTATCCCGACCTTTGTTCACCGTTGTTCCAAGACGGCGAGTCGATCGAGTCCCCAGGATATGATATAAAAAGAGAAAGCGACGTAGGTGAGTAGGTTCAGCGAGCAAACAGGAGCAGCAAGAAAGGCGAAGAAAGAAGAAGAAGGGAGAGGAATTAAAAGCAACAGCTACCAGAGTGGTTTACGAGGAGAGGAGAAAGCAACCGAACATAGAAGACATTGTACGATTCTTATATATTACTTCTCCTTCTTTGAAATCCCTCTGTCCATGCAACAGTGTTAAAAATGACAATTATGAAGATAACTGATTGGAAAGAAGGTAAAAAGAAGCAGCAGTACAATCGTCGATGAAACGTATTGAAATTGAAAGAGAGAGAGAGAGAGAGGAGTGGTCCGCGAGGGTCACGATCGTCCTCCATCTTCGTATCGAGTCGTATCTCTTGTGGTGGCTTCTGAAACGGTTCCCTCGAAGCTAAGAACGCGGAGGCAAAGGATGACGACGATGACGATGATGCATACGTCCGATCGTTGGCTAACGAACTGGTCGAGTGGGCTATCGGCGTGGTATAGCCCAGGTAGAGATCCTCCAGGCAGATTGCAGCCTGGCACAATGTAAAATTCCACGCTGCTCGGCTACCGTCGGCCACGACACGCCCGCGATCATTGAATCTATGATCCGTATCTTGAGTGTTCCGCGGTGGGTACGGTGGCTGCGAGCAGGGAAAGGAAAGAGGAACACGAGAGGAGGATCCATGCGAGAGAGGATGCTTGATTGTCGAGTGGGCGTTGGCGCTACCGTTAACGACTGCCTTTGCCGGGTATACATCGGCCCCTGTGAAAGCCAGGCCCTTATCCAACGAACGAGACAATGGAATTCCGATTATGGTCTTCCGGCTGCTTCCACCAGGTCCGCGTCGAGTGGGCGCGAGGAAAAGCCCTTCGTTTGCTCGAATTCTGCGATACCAGCAGATTTTCGAGAATCGCCGGTCACCCTTTCGAACCGTTGCGTTCTAGAAATAACTGTTCACGATTGTTGTATCGAGGATTCCGTTTCAAACGATTACGGTTTCGGGACAAGTTTCGCTTGAAGGTTCCAATAAGGGTTTCAACAGTAATTTCAACAGATTTTTATAAATAGTGTTCTAGTCTTGAAACTTTTCATAAAAGGTTTTCAAACAAAGGGAACGATCAATTCGATTCGACGAAAAAGGCGGCTACAGCTAAGCAACCCCTAATGGGACGGCAAACACCCGCTGAGTCCTGAAGTATGATTCGATTTATTATCGTCAGCGCGAGACGAAACCGGGGGTTGATATAAGGGTTGCTTTGCCTCATTGGCCCGCAACGAGATCAGACGCGACCCTAATAGCAAATTCGTTTTCTGTTTATTGGATTCTTCCCTATCTCCCTTCCGCGAGCAGGCTTTCGTGTTTCGACCTACCGACTGGAATGGAATCTCTGAAAGTCAATGGACTGCTAACGAAATTTCACACTGGGTTATTTCTTTCGATCGAGTTCTCGTCCAAGTGGCGCCTTTAAGGGAAGATAATAGAAGGGATTAATTGATTGAGATGCAATCTTATTGTTAGTACAAAACTGGAAAAAGTGTAAACAAAATTTCTGTTGGTTGTGGAAAGTATTGGATCGTAAGGGTTAATCAATCGTCATACTAAATCTTTAACGTAGAGTTTCTGCAATATGAATTATACGACTGGTGCTTATTTATCTACACAGCGATCTAAAAATGTGCTGGCGGTGAAATATTGCCTGAGCAACGTGTACAGCCGCCTCGCAACGTTTGTTGCAGTCTCGAATAATAAATAACAGAGATAACGCGAAGGAATTTTAATTCGAGTAGCTCGTCGAATTAGAAGATACAAATTAATAGCAATTACCGTGCGAGTCGGTATATAAAAAGCAGTCGTAATTACGCGATAAATTAATTCTCACCATTCATCGAAACGCTCGAGTCGCATAGATTGAATCATAAATTACTTTTTCCATAGTAATACCGTGAAGTCGAAGAATAATCGGGGTTTTGCAAGAGAAAACTCGGGTTACTTCTGTATTCATAGAATACAAGAGGCCGACGGTAGTCGAGCTGCCAGCGACAAAGATCAAGGATGACGATATTCGCGAAGAAAATCGAAAATTAATTAAAAGCTAAAACGCGAATAGGCTGGTAGACGGCGAAGAACGTAGGCGGAGGGACGGATTATTCATGGGGAACCGTGGGATGATAGCACGTGCCGCTGTCGATGGGACAGGGAATTCTAAAAGGCCATCAGCTACGAAAACATTTCGGTCGACTTTGCGTTTACAGCTTGACCTCCGATGAAATCGCTGCATAAAACCGCGAGTACATTGCCAATCGACGACAAGAATGCTTCTAACCAATGCATTTTTGTGGCTGTTGCAAGTGCCGCTCGAAACGACTCGATAAATTATTTTTCGAATCCTTATCCGGTCAAGGTGAGATCGATAGACTCACGCACCTAGTTTATATAACTCGTTTAATCCCTAATATAACCCAGTGAATACCTTTTTAAAGAATCCTGAATATTTCGAGATTTCTTTTTCAGACAATTGACTAAACTAAGAAACTGTGAATTTGAGAGGGAAGCAGGTGCATCGGTAAAAACTATACGAATTTGTGACACGGAACGAGCCGAGAGAAACTCGTATGGCCTTCGAATCTATCCGTTCTTGCCTGATAATCTAGCAAAGAGGAACATAAGTAAGTAACGAAATACCAATACACACATCCGGGGACAATAATCGGATAAGCTTCGTGTTACCGTCCTCTAACCGACGCCTTTTTCCTTCGCTTCCTCTTCGATGGCCCCTGATCCACCCACCTTGTGTAACACAGCTACTACCTCTAAAAGCTGCAAATTGTATCACAAATAGGATACAAGGATCAGAAATCAAACGCGCAACCTTTTTCAAAGGTTGTTCCTCGATTCAAGGTAGTGTCGATGAAAAAGAAATTAATCGTTTCTCACAGCGGATGGAAACAAATTCGAGAAAATGAGAGCGAACGGCAGGAAAGAGGTTAAAGTATCGATATCTTACGTGATATTTCACTCAGAGTCGAGTGTTTATCCTGCAATTAGGGAGCGGACCTGTATTTGGATCCCTCTTTCGAGGACACAGCCCACCTACTCAATTTACTCGTGACACGCGTCGCACGTCGATCGGTCCGAGTCGTTCCTATTGCGATTTCGACTAAGATTTCTCCCTGGTGCTTTCGCGCGTGCTTGTTTGGCCCGATATTTTGTGGCCACTTGGTAACGACGATGAGCACACGTGCGGTAGCACGTGCCACCCTTAACCTGACGCCTAATTGAGTGATTGGAATTCTATCGAACCGACAACTTCCCTTCTGACAAACGACCCCGCCGCCTTTATCCGACTATAAATGTTTTAAATCAATTTTCTTGCTGAAATTTTACCTTAAAGAACTATTGAAAAGTTTTATTCGACTAATAAGTTTAATAATTTCAAATTATTAACCTCCCTCATTTTAGTCAGAATTTTCTTTCTTTCGTTATTTTTTGATTAAATTTATGGCGCCGGTTACCGGTCCGCTAATTAAGAGCCGATTCCAATTATCTTTCCCATCAGCTAGTGTAATACTTTTTTGCGTTCGGTTCTTAATTATCAACACCAGAGTACGGTTATTAACATGGCAGTAAATGCGCTGAATGGAAATAGGAGCATAATCGAGAAGAAACAGTTGTTGAAATATGAAATAAAAATCAGAGGCGTGGATGTCTGTTTACGCATCGCGATCCCACCGGGAGGCGGAGGAAGTTAAGTGGACGGGCAATTTCTCTGTGACAACAAATAGTAGTCGTCGAACGAGTAAAAGGGAGAGGCATGTGACGCGATTCCCACGTATATACCTACCCGCTGGCTGCTGCCAGTGTCCCTGAACATCGGGGAGAAACCTCGGTCGCGTTAACGACAACGTATTCCGCACCCCTTCCTCTATTTTCTCGCACCCTTCGTTCAAACCTACGACCTTTCTGTTTTTTTCTCTTACCACCGCCAAGCCCGTCCCCACGGTTGTGTAATAAAATAAATACTGACGTACGACGGGACGAATCACTCGCGACTGTCGACACGGACTATCTCTTTACTCGCACGCGACACGATACGTCAGCTTTCGTCGATGTTAAAAACATCGTATATTCACAGGAATAAAAGCGTCCGGTGGACTTGGATAAAAGTAGAAATAATTGAAATTCAACGAACGAGGCTAGGAGAGCATCGCGTTTACTCGGTAAACGAACGATAAAAGCAAGATCCCCGTTCACCGGCTTGATCTTTCCTCGCTGTCTCGCGAGCTGCGTTTCGTATCCAGGACTCTTCCATCCTCCGGGGCTGCCTCTTGCTGGAGGCAGAGAAACACTCGATTCGTTCCTCTCTCGTTCCACGGCTTTTCGTGTAGCGGATACGCCTACAACGGATAGACGGCTGGACGTGGGTACGTAGGGACCCAACGGACAGATCCGTGTTTCCATGGAAACCCACCTATCTGCGTTGGTTGGACCTATACTGCCTGCTGCCACCCTGATAAGCGGCTTACTCTCATGGTTCTCTCTACTCTTCTTCGCTGGGGCATTCCAGCCCCTTCCTCCTACACCCTCTTGCAACTACTCCACTCTCTCTCTCTACGCTCTTTCACCTTTTTCTTCCTACTCTTTCTCCCGGACCTTTTCAAACCGCGAAAACGACGAAGAAAGGAAAGATACGCGTACCACGCTTCGACACGTATGATTTTGACGTGTGCACGAACGTGTGCACGAAAGCGTGAAAGAAGAAGAAAATAACAAAATATTTCTACTCCTTCCAATCGATGCTTCTCTCTATCTTCTAACTTCCATTCTCTCCCTTTGCGTATACTGAAGTCTGAGCGCTTGAAAAGTTATACGGTCAATTACCACAGTAATTCCGAGTAATTTCCTATGAATTTAATTTGTTTTGAACCGATACACCAGCTGCTACAGCTAACATTGGTTTTATTTTTTTGCTGCAAGTTTTTAAATTCGCAGATGTTTCAGCGTCTCAAGGATAATGAACATATTTTGTTGTTTTGCGAAAACAGATATTTAGTAATAAATATGCAAAGCTATGCAAAGAATGTAGTAATGCTATTTATAATTCATATTACCGGATATTGCATCGACTAATCAGATGCTCAAATTTTTAAGGACACACCTTGTATTATTACAAAAACAATATATTTTTAGATGCTAAAAAAAAGTTTTGTGATATTCTAAATAGTTTCGTTATGTACGAGGAATTTTGAAGTGGAAAAAAAATTCTGCGAATACTTCGAAGGTAACATCGAGAAGGAGAAATGCACTGGAACGCCTGCCAGAGAATGATACAGGCTGACTATAGTTAAGAAGCCCCGGGTTTGCTTCGACTTGGTATGGCTTCAGTCGATGCATCGATTTGCATGACAATCAATAAGAGCTAGTATGGCGGACAAGGCAAATACTTTAACAACAGAGATAACGTATCGTGTAGTAATTCATGAAATATAAGAGACGTGCATCATCCCTAAACAATTAGATCGAAAGCTTACACGTTTGTATTAACGACTTTCAAATAAATCAATCGAATCACCATTTAATCCTATCAAGCTTTCACTCGTGATTGATAGAATATTTTCCTTTAAACATCTATAGAAACTTGAAGAAGAAACAATTCAAAGAGAACTTAAACGCTTACGTTCGTTTTGCTTAATCCATGTGAAATATGTATGTTCTCATTAAACAGTCGAATCAGTGATAAACGTTTTCACTCCACTTTATTATGTGCTGTTATTAAATATAAATTATTGATCTTATATTTATTCGTTAATCAGATTAAAGTATAACAACGAGGAACAATAAATTTTTAACAAAGATCCTCTAGCGACAGCTACCGCCACCTCACGATTTCTCCTCAACACTTCCACTTACATGAAACTGTCGCTACCCTTTGCAACCTTATCCATCGTAAGCCTTAAATGATTTATACGACAAGAAAAGGATAATTTACAAGCTTGATAACGGATCGCATCGAGAATCGAAACGTTACTTCGTGACTAATTATTAGCATTATAAAAGAAAATTAATAGACGCATGTTTTATCATACAGAAAAAAGACATCCAGTCTATGCTGTACTCGGTGGAAGGGGTAAAATGTGAAAGAAAAAAAAAAACAGTTGTACTAATGGTTTTTAGACTAACCTTGCGGAAAAGCCGCGAGTCCGTGCTCCAGTGGATGGGGATGCGGATGACCGTGAGTAGCGAGGGCGAAGGGTGATGGTAGCCCAGGGTGAGGTGCCCCCGGGTGCGGGTGAGAATGTGGATGGGGGTGAGTACCAACACCCATCGCCGGATGACTGTGGGGATGGTACTGAGGACTTCCGGTCGGGGCGCAAGTGGCGCCCGCCGCCTTCAAGTACCCCGCCATGTAATCCGCGAGGCAAGCCAGCTCACCCGCCACCGCTGCGCCCTTATCACGCTCCCTTATCTCTTGACCTACGCCCGCCTCCGCCGCCCACCAGCTGTTCTCCTCCCGATGATTGTTCTCGCTCGATTGCGAGAATAGCTTCCTGTTGACCTCCGACACTTTTGACGCCTGCTCCGCCGACGACACTGTCGCGTTGCCTTCTCCTCTATGATCGTACCCTTTGTACTCCGGCACCTGTAACCATTATCGTAACCCCGTTACGCTTGATTACTTTACTTTAAGGTCAATTATGACGTGGCGTTTAATGATCGACAACTTAGGACTACGCGTAAAATCAACATCGGCCATTTTTAAAATGAACGTAAGCTTGGATGTCTGCAGTGACCATTGGTTATAGCGACGAACGACCGAAAGGGGTAATTACCCCCCCTCATCCCTCTTTATTGCCGCAAACCGACCCTTCGAATTTCCTACGGACAGAATTTTCTCTCTTTCCAACTTTTTCTCAACAATGGAAACATTCGCTTAGACTTTTCTTTCGTGTTCCAAGATACATTGTACAAGGCGCGTGAACGTGAGACACGAAAGGTAACGCTTCTCGTTGACACGCTTTAGGTACAACGGAGAAATTAGCATTTTTTTTGTGACCGAAAAATCTTGTCACAATGGATGTCAACACGAAAGAAACCGCCTGTATTGTTGCGAATGACGATTATCTACGGGATAAACACGCGTATATCCACATTTTTCTTTTTCACATGATTTTCAATCTGAAAAACTATGTTTTCGCGAGATGATTTGCATTTTTCAAAAGATAGGTTGTTACTCTAGTCACTCACCAAATTGCACGATGAGGGAGAATATCCAAAATGCTCAGACATTCACTCGTATAAATCCAAATTGCAAACTATAAGTGTCTCATTTTCACGTGTATATCACAGCACTCGATCACAGATATATTCCTTCGGTCTTTGGTACTGCTTGCAATCAAAGCAAATCGCACTCCGAAATAGTCGAGAGAGAAAAAAAATTTTTTTTCCTTTTCAGCGCACTACCGGCGTGCACGTTCCGTCTCTAATGCCGTACTAACGCACGTTACAACAAAGATCCCGGTGGTACCCTGTACCTCATGCTTCGTGCAGGGATTCGGTCAAACTGTGACCTACCCCCACCGTGGCATCCCTAAATAGTTTTCCAGGCCCTACCTCGGTCCCTTCCCCAAAACGGGGGTGGGGATTTCACAGTGGGTCTGTTAGAAGTGGGGGGTAGTCGTATGAATGGCCACCCGTGGGTGACCCTTTTCACGACTGAACAACGTTCGACCAATGAAGATTCGAAAAACTTGTCAATGCTAAATTTTTTTATCAATCCATGAGGAATCTCTAATTTGAATATCTTAATAAACTCTTTAATAGCATTTATTATTATCTAAAACGAATGAACACCTTGGCTATTGTGTCACTTATGAGTGGGAGGGTATTGCAATTTCTAGTACCCATTAGATTACAATACGATAGGGAGGTGTTAACATTGTCTGGAAGTTCGAAATAGATTAACAGCAGAGTAAATTGTATAAAGTTGAGACGCGAATCAACAAGAGGGTAGTGGCGCGTGCTAAACCGGAAGGAAAAAACGGGAAGTGGTAACCATGCTAAAAAGGAGGCTTATCCGAAAAACTTAACTTCCCGCTAGACGCTAAACGGCTAAACAAACCATCCAAGTTTTTATCCGGTCGGCGGACCACGAACGGACAAAGATGCGACGTGTTCGGAAAAAAGATGGCACGATGAGAGGAGAGAGGAGAGGAGAGGAGAGGAGACGATGCACGTTGGTAGGTATGTTTACACGGGGGCATTATGGCGGATAATGTTTGTTATAGGCGTCTATGCTCTACAGCCTGGAGAGGCGAGACTATCCCGACGTTAAAAGGCCAGCCTGGTCGATCCGCTTACGCCGGATGAGGCTCAAATTGAGTGAGAGATAGTGAACTCTCGTGCAACGAGTTGCATGGGCATCACACGTGTCTCGATGCACATGTTATGGTTACTTCTGCATACCTGAACCATCGCAATACAGAAAATATCGCGCGATAATTCTGCGGATGATTGAGGTATGCGTGTATGTTAGGTTCTTTCTACAGCTAAATAGTCTGACGGAATTTAATGGCATAAAAATATTGCATTTACAACAAAAGTACTAAGCCGGTTTTTAAACGTAAAAACCCTGTAGTGTAGATTTTGAAAAATAATTTTTCAATGTATTGTCTAAGAAAACGCTAGCGATCACGTAGACCCTATTGTTTTCTACCTGTGCTACAGGCATGCCCTAATCAAGGAATTAATAACACTTTACATAGACCCTTTCTTTTCTGCCTATTGTTCTTTAAAGCTTGGACAACACAAAAGTATTGCGATTTGCGGGAGACTGCGGTCAGTGTCCCAGAAGTACCTCTCTTTGGAAAAACCCTAAACGGCTGGCTATTCAACGGAGCATTGTCTGTTAACGCCCTTCCGGGTATTAACTAACCACGGTAAACATTACAGGGTGTCGGTGACCGGTCTTCGAGAATTCACATAGCTAATACCTTGTATACCTGAGGATCTGTGACCTGTCAGCATCTCTGACACGCGTTCGAACCTTCTTAAAAGCTTCCTTTCCATGAAAATCAGTTGTTCATAAATTTGTCACGATTAATACGCGCGTAATTTACGGTAAAATTAATGATGAAACGGTGAACGGCAATTACTTCCTCATAAATAACTTCTTTCGAGCAAATATACTTGATGCGCGTAGTTGCTTCATTTGTTTCGTATATGCGCGACATATGATGCGCAGTGGACTAATTCAGTGAACGTTCAAAATATTTTTTAACAAGTAAATTACTGTTTCTAATAGAACAATAAATTAGTAAAAAATTATACTATAGGAAAAATAGTTTTATCATGTATGCGTATAATTAATTATGCTTTAGTAGTTTTCAAATTGTTGCAAAAAAGACTATCGTTTTTCCAAGTAACAATTCAAAAAACGTGACATATTGGCGCCAAACCGTTAGTCATTGCTCGCCGCGCATTTAGTTTACACAGCAAATGTTCGGTTCCGTGAGTTTTACTATTTTTACTGGAATTATTACGATTTCGATACACCCATTACCATCTGAAAGAACGTCAAAGATCAGCGAATACAGTGATAGGTATAATTTTCATGAATTCATCGATATATATTGATTAGAAGCAAAAATCTATCGGAACATAATGGGCGCGTCCACCCACTCCTCGCGATCGTCCGATTACGTATTATGAACCGATTGCATGTGAATATTTTTTTATCAACGCGTCAATTTTGTATTTCTTACGCGAACAACGGATCCTGAAACGCGTCGTTAACGATAAAATACGACGAAATACGATAAACAGGAACAGCGAACCGAATTGGGTTCAGTCCATTGTGAGATGAAGGGGTGGTAGGTGGGACGCGTGATTTTCGAAGTAACGAAGTTGCGAAAAATCCAAGATGGCCGCCCGTTAGTGTCAACGTCCTCCGCGCTCCGAAGTTTTCCGTATATATCTGTTAATAAATTCGCAATAATGTTGTGTTGTGATTTTCTGTGTGTGTGCAATTGAAATATACCCGGATATTGGATATGTACATCATATTGGATTACTGGAAGAATAGTCATCGACCCGGCCTCTTGATCTTCAAACGACGTAACGCCATCGTTCGACAGTGCATGGTAAGAAAGCACAATTTTTCAGAAGCGATTAACTACCGTATCGTATTATAGATCAGTAGCCACAAATGATACGTATACATAATTTTTTTAGAACAATAGAATATAATGGGTGAAAATAATAACTGAAACATCCGTAAGATGTCTCCACGTCCGTAGCGATAAGATGCCAGTATATCGTAAGGAGGTTCGAATTTGATAGAACAGCTTTTAATTATTAGAATTGACTTATCATCACATTCGTAAATGTGAATATTAAACTTGATCCGATCTCGTACACGTACTTGGTTAGTATCGATAAAAACACTTTCCTAAATGTTCGATTACAATCGATCCGTAAGGTTGATCGCGTCGAGAAAAATAAATAAGCGTAGACGACTAAAGAGAGAGAGATAGATTGCGTAGCAAGTTTGCGCAAGCCTGGCGAAACGTGGGGAAGGGTCGACTAGGTAAAAAATCTATATAAAGGTGAAAAGAGGAAAACCGGATGGGGTAGTTTGCTCTTTCGAGCAAAGCAGAAGAAGAGAGGCGTGTATCGAGTTTGCGCGTTTTATTCCTCCTCCTGTGTTCAGGCTCCGCCCTGATGTTTTCCCTCCTCCAGCTTCCCTATTCGCCCTTCGAGCCCTCCTGGACCAGAAGGGCTCGTACTTTGTCGACGGTCTCGTATCGAAATTTCAGTTTCTAGATGATTCCTGTCCCGAGTCACGTCGCGTAATCGAGTCACCGTTGACGTAAAGCGCTTGCGCGTCAGCCTCGTATTCTATTCTTTCTTTCTTCCTTCCTTTCTCTTTGAACGTGAAAAGACTCGTTACGGTAGAAATACGGTCTCCAAGGAACTTTATTATGTATTGGTTTTCTTGCTGAAAAATCAGCCTGTCCGACGGTGGCAATAAAAAGTTATATTACGGTAGCCAGCGTTTTCCTCGCAATCGACTTTACCTCGTTCCAAAACCTTTACAGCCACGATGATTACGGTAAGAAAACTAATTTCTTAGGTACTGCGGGCCTCTATTTGATCCTTTAACACCCCGCGCCCCTAATAATTCTTTACAGAATTGTCGCGACTAGATTCGAAAACAACCTGGACTACCACCTTGCCACCGAAATTACCTTTTTTACTCGCTGCGCGCTTTTTTTTCTTTCTTATCTTTCGCACCGTGCGAAACTTGATAAACTTCGAGACGATGAACATCATTCGAAATTCATCATCTGACTCATGGTTAATATTAGAATATTTGTACGTTCGACATAGAGCGTCGTTGAATTCATTCACAGGAAGAACGGTAGGAGTAAAATTGACGACCAATAAAATCGTTATTAGCCGAAGAACGTCATTCGCCGGATGAAGATATTCATTAACGCTCGATCAGCTTTTATAGTTCTATCGGAAGCACCTTGCATCTAGACTCGGTTGTTCACAATCGTGTCCGACGCTTCATCCACTTCATTACTTTCACTCGAATTCCGATAGCGTTCGTGCAACCGGTTTACAAACACGTGGATT